GCAACCTCTGAAAGGACGTAAGCCAATACACGCCTCCCAGAACTGCTGCTGCCAGCGCCTGTGACAGGCCACTGCGAACCCACACCTCAAACACTCACAGGTAGATCTGGATAAGTCTCTTGTGGGGTCACTGCTCCTTTCCCCTGGGTCCTGGTACACACAAGGTTTTGTTTCTGCTCTCCTAGAGTGTCTGCTTTCCCCAGTCCTGTGGAGTTTCTGTAATCAAATCTCTCTGTTCCTCAATGTCAGATTCCCTGGGGATTCCAAGTCCCTTTGCCAAATCCCCAGGTTGGGAAGTCTGATGAGGGGCCTAGGACCTTCATAACAGAGCAAGAACTTCTTTGGAATTACTGTTCCAAAGTGTGTGGCACCCACCTATTGGGTACGGGATTTGATTTCAATTTGATTGTTCCCCTCCTACTGTCTTGTTGTGGCTTCTCCTGTGTCCTTGGATGTAAGGTATCTTTTTTAGGGGTGTTCCAATGTCCTCCTGTCAATAGTTATTCAATACTAGTTGCAATTTTGGTGTCCTTGCAAGAGAAGATGAGTGCATGTCCTTCTATTCCACCATCTTGGGCTTCCCCATCACCCATCAGCAGACAATTGTATTAAAAATTTACTGAGCATGGCCTTGCCCACCAAAGCATGACCCAGTTTTCCCCAAAGCCAGTCCCTCCCATCAGGAAGCTTGCACAAGCCTCTTATCTTCATCCATCAGAGGGCAGACAGAAAAAGCAAGAACTACAATCTCACAGCCTCCAGAATGAAAACCACAATCATTGAAAGCTAAACAAAATGATCATATGGGCCACAGCCTTCTGTAACTAGTGAAGCCATGAGCCATGACATACAGGATTAACCAAGATGAGCAGGTCATGGTGGAGAGTTCTGACAATACATGGTCCACTGGAGAAGGGAATGGCAAACCACTCCAGCATTCTTGCCTAGAGAACCACATGAACAGTATGAAAAGGCAAAAAGATATGACACCAGAAGATGAGCCCCACAGGTCAGAAGGTATCCAATATTCTACTGCAGAAGAGCAGAGAAATAGCTCAAGAAAGAATGAAGCAGGTGGACCAAAGAGAAATGATTCCTAGTTGTTGAGTGTCTGGTGGTGAAAGTAAAGTCTGATGATGTAAAGAACAATATTGCATAGGAACCTAGAATGTGAGGTCTGTGAATCAAGGTAAATTGGATGTAGTCAAGCAGGAGATGGCAAGAGTGAACACTGGCATTTTAGGAATCGGTGAACTAAAATGGATGGGAATGGGGGAATTTAATTCAGATGACCATTATATCTCCTCCTGTGAGAAAGGATCCCTTAGAAGAAACGGAGTAGCCCTATTGTCAACAAGAGAGTATAAAATGCAATACTTGGGTGCAATCTCCAAAACAGCAGAATGATCTCAATTCATTTCCAAGGCAAACCATTCAACATCACACTAATCTAAATCTATTCCCCAACCACTGATACCAAAGAAGCTGAAGTCGAACAGTTCTGTGAAGACCTACAAGACATTCTAGAACTAACACCAAAAAATATATCCTTTTCATCACAGGGTCTGTCATTCAATCACCAAGTCATATTCAACTCTTCACAATCCCATGGACCATAGAACACCAGGCATCCCTGTCCTTCACCATCTCCCAGAGTTTGTCCAAATTCATGTCCATTGAATCAGTGACACCATCCAAACATCTCATTCTCTGTCACCCTCTTCTTCTTCTGTGTTCAATCTTTCCCAGAATCAGGGTATTTTCCAATGAGTTGGTTCATAGCATTGTACAGGAGTCAGTGATAAAAACCATCCCAAAGAAAAAGAAATGTAACAAGACAAAATGGTTCTCCTAGGAGGCCTTACAAATAGCTGAGAAAAGAAGAGATGTTAAAGGCAAAGGAAAAAGGGAAAGATGCACCCAACTGAATGCAGAGTTCCAGAGAACAGCAAGGAGAGAAAAGAAATCCTTCTTTAAAAAAAAGAAAAAAAGAAAGCCTTCTTAAGCGAACAATGCAAGGAAATAGAGGAAAACAATAGAATGGGAAAGAATAGAGCTCTCTTAAAGAAAACTAGGGATACCAAGGGAACATTTCATTCAAATGGGCACAATAAAGGACAGAAACAGTAAGGACCTAACAGAAGCAGAACAGGTTAAAAAGATGTAACAGGAATACACAAAACTGTACCAAAAAAAATCTTAATGACCGGGATAACCATGATGATGCAGTTACTCACCTAGAGCTAGACATCCCGGAATGTGAAGTCAAGTGGGCCTTGGAAGTATTACTATGAACAAAGATAGGTAGAGGTGATGGAATTCCAGCTGAGCTATTTCAAATCCAAAAAGATGACACTGTTAAAGTGTTGCACTGAATATGCCAGAAAATTTGGAAACTCAGCAGTGGCCACAGAACTGGAAAAGGTCATTTTTCATTCCAATCCTGAAGAAAGGCAATGCCAAAGAATGCTCAAACTACCATACAATTGCACTCATTTCACATGCTAGCAAGGTAATGCTCAAAATCCTTAAAGCTAGGCTTTAGCAGTATGTAAATAGACAACTTCCAGATGTACTAGCTGGATTTAGAAAAGGTAAAGAAACCAGAAATCAAATTGCCAACATCCACTGGATCATAGAAAAGGAATTCCAAAAATGCATCTACTTCTGCTTCACTGACAACACTTAGACATGATAACATTCAACTTACATGATACATCATCGAAATACCCACCACGACGAATCCCAAGCTGGAATCAAGACTGCCAGGAGAAATATCAGCAACCTCAGATATGCAGATGACACCACTCTAGTGGCAGAAAGTGAAGAGGAACCTAAGAGCCTCTTGGTGAAGATGAAAGAGGAGAGTGAAAAATTAACACTCAACATTCAAAAAACTAAGATTATGGCATCCAATCTATCACTTCATGGCAAATGGATGGGGAAATAATGGAAATAATGGAAACAATGACATATTTTATTTTCTTGGGCTCCAAAATCACTGAAGATGGTGACTGCAGTCATAAAATTAAAAGACTTGCTTGATCCTTGGAAGAAAAGCTATGACAAACATAGATGGCACATTAAAAAGCAGAAAAATCACTTTGCAGACAAGGTCTGTATAGTCAAAGCTATGGTTTTCCTGTAGTCATGTACGAATGTGAGAGTTGGGCCATAGAGACAGCTGAGTGCCAAAGAATTGATACTTTTGAACTGTGGTATTGGAGAAGACTCTTGAGAGTCCCTTGGACTGCAAGGAGATCAAATCAGTCAATCCTAAAGGAAATCAGTCCTGAATATACATTGGAAAAGACTCATGAGAGTCCCTTGGACTGCAAGGAGATCAAATCAGTCAATCCTAAAGGAAATCAGCCCTGAATATTTATTAGAAGGACTGATATTGAAGCTGAAGCCACAATACTTCAGCCAACTGATGCAAAGAACTGACTCATTGGAAAAGACCCTGATGCTGGGAAAGATTGAGGGCAGGAGGAGAAGGAGGCAACAGAGGATGAGATGTTTGGCTGGCATCACCAACTCAATGTATACGAGTTTGAGCAAACCCTGGGAGATACTGAAGGACAGGGAAGCCTGGCATGCTGCATTTCATTGGGTTGCAAAGAGTCAGACACCTATTAGCAACTGAACAACCACAATAACAGTAATTTGTACATTGCTGAAAAGAGGTTTTCTTTTCTAATATTAATTTTCTGCAATTCTCAGTGACCCAAAATGCCCTCTAGTTCCTTATACAGAGTAGCAGCCTACAGAGGTCAAATGGTGGTTACATTCTTGGTCTAGGCTCATACAATACTTGATTCTATGAAGTAGTAGACCCTTGAGGTTATTTCCCCAGCTCCAGAATGAATAGATATGATAAATAACTGTCAGACACTCCAACTTTGTTCTCTTTTCTATTAGGAAGCTTCTCATCCATACCAAGAGGGTAAAACCAAAAAAATACACCGTCTCAATTTCCTTTCTCAATGGAAAATTTAAAGGCTAATACCAATCAGTGACTTAAAATTACCCTGCAAAGTGAGAGACAAATTGCACTAATCACACACAAAAATTAAAAAATACAATTCTTGGAGGTCCATTTTCAATCTTGTAGGAAACATATAACACATTAGAGAAGCTACTCCAACCCATTACCAGATGACCTCCTGAAGCTGCAAATTTTGAGGGACACTCAACCAAATAAAGTTCCTTCAGCAGGCCCTGCTGTCAAGCAAGCTGCCTTGCCAATTGGGCCTTCTCAATGGCATAGCACATTGAAGGAGTCCCAGTGTCTCTGACTGACCTCAATGGGGATATCACAATGCAGAGCATGAATGGCTGGATAAGGTCCACACCCTCCCATTCTGACTACTAGTCTTCACTGTAAAAGCATCTCTTGGCTGCTACTGGACCCTTCTACAGATTGAAGACCTTATTGTGGGAAACATTGCCACCAGGCAAAGTTGAACTGTGTGCTGTAAACCAAATATCCTCTAATCAACTGATCCATAAAGTTAGGCATGCACATTGTTTTCTGTTATGTGGTGTTTAGGAGACTGGGGCCCAAGATCTGCAAGGCACCCACAAATTGCAGGAGGAAGTGATTCCAGTTCCCATGGCAATTGTATCTGTTGCTTGGCTACCTGTCCCCCCACCCTTGCCTGCACATGGCCTTAATCTGGATAGAGGTGCCTTTCAAACCTGTACATAGCTTCTAATGCAACTCAAGAAAGACATGATCTTCATATGCAGTAGAAGAACACTCTTTATCTTGAATTCAGACTGTGTGTCCCCATGGCCCTTGGACCTTCAGGGTTTATGCATGAGGCATCAGAACAATGTTTAACTCTGTTGTTTCAACATTCATAGAAAAGCCATTTTTTCCTTCAGTGTTGTCGCTTTCTGTCATTATGAAATAGGATTTAATAGGTACTGGATCATTTACCTATTAATTTTGGAGACAGTGTCAGGAGAATTGACAAACTTAATAGAAAATCTGGTGGCACTTTCATTGTTTCTTTTATTGCAGACATGAACATTTTTTTCATTTGCTGAAGAACAAAAATGGTGTACAGAGCTAAGTATCTTCCATCTGCCCATTCAGATTTACTCTCCTTCTACTTGTCCTGCTGTATCCACAGGAGCAGACCTATATGGACAAGATCATCAGTTCCTCTACTGAAAAATAAGAGACTAACCAATTCTAAGACCTTTTTTCAAGGGGCAGTATGTTTTAAAGACTTTTAATATTTCCTTACATATTGTATGCCCTTCCCAAGAAGAGTATGCATTAGAAGTACACACAATTTGAATTCTTATTATTTCAACATAAAAAGTGATTACATGAAAGAAAGCAGTCACTTCAGGAGAAGTGACATTTAAACAACACAAGCTTTTTATGTCTTTCCCTATAGAACAGAGCAAGATATATATTGAAATAAACACATTTTCCTATAGTAGAATTTTGGGTAACTTATCTTGTATTTATCACAGCTTCACCCAAATAAGGATGTAGATAGCAAAATCTCCATTCCAGAGCACCCCCATGGTAAGCACCTTTTTTTCTCCAAAGAGTGGTTTTGTGGCAGTTTTCTACTGACATTGATGATGGGTCAAGTTTCCCTTAGTCTTCATACATTGTATATCTACTAATTCCATCCCATCACGACATGAGCAACAAGGAGGTAACACATCCCCACCATGCAGGAGACAACCATCATTGGAAAGCCCAGCCTGAAACACAGAGAAGTGGATTATGATATCTGGTGTCTGGAGAGTACTGTGAGATCTGAATTCATAATTATATTATTGCAAAAGAATGTGGCCTTAAGAGCTTTATATATCCATAAAGGTAATTGTCTCATTTCTAGAGACAAAAAAGTTGGGTTCAGCCTAGATGATGTGGATGCATGCCTCCCTGAGATAGCCACTACTGTATTCCCCAAATAAATTTCAGTTCATTTTGGCAGCACTATTTTACAGGCACCACCAATGACTATTTTCCCCAGTTCCTGAATCCAAATTGCAGGGGTGCCCTAAAAAAACAAGAAGGCAGGGGCTAGGACCCCAGAGCAAGCCCAGCTCCCTCAGAGCAGATCCTCCTTTGCAGGAGCTGGCATCAGCTGCACTCTGCCATCCAGGGACTCCTCTCCATGCTATGCTCCTGAGAGGTACCTGCTCCCAAGCTGCCCCCAGTCTTCAATATTCCTAGAACCATAAAGGTAATTGTCTCATTTCTAGAGACAAAAAAGTTGGGTTCAGCCTAGATGATGTGGATGCATGCCTCCCTGAGATAGCCACTACTGTATCCCCCAAATAAATTTCAGTTCATTTTGGCAGCACTATTTTACAGGCAACACCAATGACTATTTTCCCTAGTTCCTGAATCCAAATTGCAGGGGTGCCCTAAAAAAACAAGGAGGCAGGGGCTGGGACCCAAAAGCAAGCCCAGCTCCCTCAGAGCAGATCCTCCTTTGCAGGAGCTGGCATCAGCTGCACTCTGCCATCCAGGGATTCCTCTCCATGCTATGCTCCTGAGAAGTACCTGCTCCCAAGCTGCCCCCAGTCTTCAATATTCCTAGATCCTTTCAATCATGAATTTTTTCACTAGGTAATGCCATGCAGGATGTCACAGTCCCAGGATGCACCCTCAACCTAGACAGTCAAGGCACAAATCCCCATTGGAATGTTCAAAAGAACAGCATAAAATACCAATGTCTTGCTGATTATTAAAACGTACTTATATTAAATATGTGTGGCTTATTTTTAATTACTTAAGCTTAGGGACTATATAAACAGAAAATTTAGATAAATTTTTGAAGTACCTGAAAAATTCCATGAAAGAGAATCCATATCCATGCTGCTCTGCAATTCCTGCACAAACCACATTTGCTGATGCTCCAATCAGTGTCCCATTACCTAGAATCAAAATTCGAAAGGCATAATAAAATCTCAGTTCATCCTGGAGGTAGACTTCTATTCTCTTTTGTTTTGTAATACTTGAACCATCTCACAGACTTTTGATTTGATGATTACAGTCCATTATGAAAGTGACTGCTTGTGCGAATATCTGCAGGGAACACAAAAAACACCAGGAGGAGGAGCCAAGATGGTGGAGGAATAGGACGGAGAGACCACTTTCTCTCCTACAAATTNTGTAAAGTAATTAGCCTCCAACTAATAAAAATAAATGGAAAAATAAATAAATTAAAAAAAAAAACACCAGCAAACAGAGGATAAATTCATTGCTTGTAAGTATTCATTTTTGAATAGGGCTATTGTTGTTGAATGTGATAGGAAAGAAGAAATGCTAAGGAGAACTAGCAAATCACCATGGGACGTGGTGGCATATATCTTCCAGAGGAAAATGCAAGTAGATTCACCATGAAAAATACAAGTAGGTTCTCATCTTAAATGAAAACCACCACCTTTATGACTCCAGGTCAGGACATGTACCCGGAAATCCTTTGTGTGTATGGAAAGATGGATGTAAGCAACCAGGATAATATAATGCTTCTCTGGGTGGGCCTTTTTGACAGAATTCATGATCTTCAGGGAGACTAACGTGCACACATATATACAAGTGTGGTCTCAGTGAGGGATATGATTCAAGCCTGACACTCAACAGAGATATGGGATCAGGGAAAGGTAGAATCTACTGGGTGAAGCCCTTTGGGATCTTTTATCCACTAACCACAGAGGTCAGTGTTTGGGGATGCATGCAGAACCCAGGCATAGCCAAGTTAGTTCAGTTCTGGCATTGTGCATCACTGAGGACTGTGAACTATGAGACACAAATCTGCAACTGCCAACAGCCCCTATTGGCCTGAGGGAATGGCTTTTTAATACTGGACAGCAGAGCAGGAGGGTGAGGATCAAGGAAGCTGTGCCCCAAGGTGCTATGTTGGCCCAGAACTCCACACTGGAATATGGAGGATGGAGAGAGGTAAGGAATAAGTGATAAGCTGTGTCACCTATGAGGTTTATCCTGCCCCCCCCCCACTTACTCCTTACACTGTCCTGAAATACACAGACATCCAACACAACCACCAGGTCCATAGGCAGGCGGGGCAAAGGCTCACAGTTTAACTTCACTCTTCTTGATTTTATTACATATAAGAATTCAACCTAGTTTCCATGAAAACTCCTGAAATAGCACACCACATCCACTTACATGCTTGCTCTAAGGATGAAATATATTTGACATGTCAATAATATAAGACTTTGGATCTTAAGAGCTTAATAAAAATCTTCAGGGTATCCTCAGAGCTCTGAACCCCACAAGCCCAAGCCCCAGTTTGCTGTGCTCACTGTGTTTCTGATGGTCCATTTCATGACAATCCTCCTATACCTCAGTGTAATTCAAAGTGTATGGACCCACCCAGAATTTTAGGAAGGGTGCAATAGAGGTGGGAGGTCAGGAGGGGCAAGCACATCACCAAGGGGAGGGATAGCTGCCCCATAGCAGGGGAGGGCATGGCAGACCAACATTCAAACTGCTTGGGCAGGACAGATTTTAGGGTGGCAACAAAGGAGGCATAAACCCTGATTGGTGGACAGTCCAGACTATAAGATGTTGCCTTGTTCCAGGTAGTTAAATGATGATACCCCCTAGCCCCATAGAGAAGCCCACACCTTAGTCCTCAGAACATGTGCTTATGTCATTATGTTACTATGTATGGCAAGAAGGTCTTTGCAGAAGTATTTCAGGTTATAGATCTTGAGATGCGGGATTACTCTGAATTATCTGAGTGGGCACAACTGACTCACGTGAACCCTTAAAAGTAGGGAACTTTCTCAAGCTAGAAGCAGAAGAAAAGCCTCAGAGGGAGAGTCATAGAGATCCTGGAGACCCCAGGGAGCTACAGCAATACAGGGGTAGGAGAGATCCCAGAGGAGAGCTGGATGGAACCCAGGGTAGAGAATTTGAGAGATCCAAGGGGATGGAAGAATTCCCACCATGAGATTTCCATATAACATTGCTGGTTCTGAGATTTAGATCCAAAGGCCATAACCAGAGAGGCCTCTAGGACCTAAGGGCAGCCTCAGCTGACAGCCAGCAAGGGACTGGATATTTAGTCCTACACCTCTAAGGAACTGGATTCTGTCAACAACCTGAGTGAGTTTGGAAGCAGACACATCCCCAAAGTTTATCTATTTGTTATGACCAGAACTGAGTCTGGATTTCCATCTCAGTTCTTAGATCTGCCTCGGCTCCCACCTTCCCCCTACCCAAGACTTCCATTAGCGTCTTCCTAACTGCCTAACCCTAGGCAAGCTCTCCCTCTCACCCCAGCAGGTCATTCCACATGGAAATCAGCTCATATCCTTCTGGGGCTCACAGGGAGCCCGTTAACAAAGACATGACACAATGTAGGAGATGTGCAGTGGGCTTGAGATCAGACAGGCAGAGAGAAAATGCTCAGGGGGCTGAGCACTGAGGTCCTCAGTGTCCCCATGAAGAAAGCGAGGCACAGAGTAGCAACATGCTGACATGCGAATGTTCCTCAGAGGGCCCTGCCAGCCTCCACCGCAGAGCACACACCTCAATAGCTGAGTAGCATCTGCTCTGCACCCCAAACGTTGCTACTCCAGGATTTAACATTGACAACTCTCCTGAATAAAACAGAATTTCACACATAATTCAAGGTCACATTCAAGAACTTGAGTGAGCTCTAAAAAATAAAAGGCAACACTTTCTTTCTCTCATGTTAAGGATTAATATTTGAAAAATACTCCTTTTGGATCAAAATGGTGGAGGAGAAGGACATGGAACTCACCTCTCCCAGCAAACACATAAAAAAATATATCTACATGTAGAACAAATTTCACAGAAAACCAACTGAAAGCTGACACGAGATCTCTTATACAACCGAAGCAGCAGGAAAGATTCCCATGTAACTGAGCAGGACAGAAAAAAGGCATTAGGATGAGACTGGCACCTCTGGGAGGAAGTTGTGAAAGAGGAAAGGTCCACACAGGTGGTCCCTCTCCCTGGGAACTCCCCCTTTCCTTCATAGAGGTCTTCTAGGAGAGAGAGATGGACAGGAGGGGCATGAACTCTACTTGCAAGGAGTGCATGTGTATCAGTTGCTGTACATGAATCAGTTGCTACCTCACGCCACTTCCCACCCCAAACAGGCCCTGAGAAGGGCTTCTAGTGTGCCCTGCCCAGCTAGGCAATGAAACACAGGCTTCAACAGAAGGATCCTGGGAGAGAATATGGTCTAGTTCCAGAGGGCTTGGAGTGTAGTCCAGGCCAAAACTCAGAGCTCATCACTAGCACACTCAGAGCTGAGCATAAGTCTGCTGTAGGAGCCCCATTGGCACATGCAAGTTAGAGCATAAGTCCCCATAGGTACATTACTGTCAGCAAGCTTACAGCACTGCACAGCTCCAGTGTGGCCAGGCTTGTGACCTTGACTATGGCAAATTTGGCAGCAGTGGACTTTGCTGATGCATCAACCAGCTGGTTGGTAGCATCACAGAATCACTTATCTACCATGGAGAGTCCCTAGGGTGTGGTACAAAGTAATTCCTTTCCCTGTGGGAGCCCTTCAGTTCTGCCCACCTCCAACACAGCTCAGAGCTAGATCTGGGATAGACAGGTCCTGGAGAGCCCTACCACAGATGCAGCCTAGGCCCCAGGGGGCAGACCAGCAGTCACAAAACCTTGCCCCCCAGCAACAGCCTAGCAAGAGGTCTGGGATGAATACAACAGAGAAAGAGACACAACATTGGGCTGCTTCTGGCAGAACTGCAAATGGCTGCACGGGTGGCATATAGACCTGATGTGTACATACAGGGCTCACTTCCTTCATGCTCACCTCCTTAGGAATAGAGCACACACTTCAGGGCAATAAAGCCACATGGAACACAACTCTCAGTGCTTCTACTGCAACTGGAAAACAGACCCTGTCCCATGGAATTAACTGCCATGGAACAGAATAGAGAAAAACAATGAAAAGAAATGAGGACACAACATTGTTTGTTTGGTGCATTTCACCAACGTTTGAATAATAGGGATCCCAGAAGACAAATGGAAAGAGAAAGGGCCTAAGAAAATATTGAAGAGATTATAGTCCAAAAATTCCATAAAGTGTGAAAGGAAACATCACACAAGACCAGGAAATGAAGATACAGGATAAATCCAAGGAGGAACATACCAGAACATATATTAATTAAACTCAGAAAAACTAAATACAATGGAAAAAATATTGAAAGCAGCAAATAAAATATAAGGGAATCCCTATAAAGCTATCAGCTGAATTTTCAGCAGAAACTCAGCAGGCCAGAAGGGAGGGGCATGATATATTCAAAGTGATGTAAGGGGAAAACCTACAATCTAGAATATTCTACCCAGAAAAGTTATTATTCAAATTCAAGGGAGAAATAAAAGACAAGCAGAAGCCAAGAGAATTCAGCACCACCAAGCCAAGGAGCTTCTCTGGGTGGGGGTGGGGGGGGAAGGCTGCAACTAGAAACATAAAATCACAAATAGGAAAACTCACCAGTAAAAGCAAACACACAGTAAAAGCTGGAAATCAGCCATACACAAATATAATATCAAAACCAGGAACTATGAAGAGAGGACAGATATAGGAAATGGGAACTGCATTTAAAAATAAGAAACTAGTAACTTAATATATAACACATATACACACATATGTGTATATCAGTCAGTCAGTTCAGTTGCTCAGTCATGTCCAACTCTTTGTGACCCCAAGACTTCCCTGTCCATCACCAACTCCCAGACCTTGCTCAAATGCATGTCCATCAAGTCAGTGGTACCACTGAATCATCTCATTCTCTGTTGTACCCTTCTCCTCCCACCTTCAGTCTCCCCCAGTATCAGGGTCTTTTCTAATAAGTCAGTTCTTTGCATCAGGTGGCCAAAGTATTGGAGCTTCAGCTTCAGCATCAGTCCTTCCAATGAATATTCAGGGTTGATTTCCTTTCAGTTAACTGGTTTGATCTCCTTGCTGTCCAAGCACTTTCAAGAGTCTTCTCCAGCTCCACAGTTCAAAAGCATCAATTCTTCAGTGCTCAGCCTTCTTTATGGTCCAACTCTCACA